GGGAGGAGGACAGGCTGGAGGTGGGGGAGGAGGACAGGCTGGAGGTGGAGGAGGAGGACAGGCTGGAGGTGGGGGAGGAGGACAGGCTGGCGGTAGCAGGGGAGGAGAACAGGCTGGAGGTGGGGGAGGAGGACAGGCTGGAGGTAGCCGGGGAGGAGGACAGGCTGGAGGTGGGGGAGGAGGAGGAGGAGGAGGTAAAGTTTTTAATAAAGGAGGGTCAACATTTAAAAGGGAAGGAGGAAGTAGCCATCGAAAACGGCAAAATGGAAGTAAATTTTGCCAACGTCGTTTTCTGCACGTGAAATTTCGTAGACTTGGCTGGCACAGCTGGATCATCGCACCGGACGGTTACTCGGCGTTCTTCTGTCAAGGAGAATGTTCATTTCCTTTGAATGCCAACATGAACGTCACAAACCATGCTATTGTACAAACCCTTGTTCATCTGATGCAACCCAAGACAGTACCCAATCCATGTTGTGCCCCTACTAAGCTGTCTCCAATATCAGTCTTGTTCTACGATGACAGGAATAACGTTGTGTTAAAAAAGTACACTGACATGGTTGTCAACGAGTGTGGCTGTCAATGATAAGAGCAGAAAGTCTTGTATGAATAAGGGGAGGAAGCGCAACACAGGAAGTCCATTTGAAAACATGTAGTAGTCGCAAAAACAATTAAATAAATACAACATTTATACTAATATGTCTATGTTAGCCAATAAAAGACTTCTTCACTAGCCCCTGCCGAGCTGGGTAATATTTATTATACAGGCGGTGGCTGATTTGCATAAGCTAGATACTACTCTCTGGGTAAGTACGTCACCCTCTTTAATTAAAGCTTATTGTTATTGCATTGTATGGTAACATTTTACTTTCCCTCTCTTCGCTTGCGGCGTTGTAAGTTTTTAAGTGGCCGGAATTTATGCGATAATGAAAGCGTTATAACATGAAGCAATGACAAAGTCTTTTGTCACGTGTTTGACGTGTAATCTTTAGGCAGAGTTTAAACAGCCTTTCTCTAATTTCTTCAACTCTAACATAGTATCAAAAATGTCTTGCATTATATATGGATCACTCGCTTTATGGATTCTCGCTCACCAAACCTTTTCCCTAGAAGATTGCATGGTGCAGTCAACGAATGGAGCGATCTCCACAAAGCCTGGCTTTTCTCTGAAAGGGCATGTAAAAAACAAGTTACAAACGACAAGTTTGATTCAATGTGGTATGCGATGCTTGCAAAAAGATTGGTGTGTTTCCGTCAATTTTGAAGACAGTAAATTCTCAGGGATTTGTGAGTTAAACGACCATGGAGTGGGACAGAATGGTGATTTGATAGAAAAATTGGAAGAAAGAAAAGGTTTCGTGTACGTCCAGCTCCGATCTTTGGAGGTAGGTATAAAAGGATCACATTCGTATCTGTTTAATCGTTCACGAACACGCGCAAAACGTGAAAAAATTCCGTAAAAAAAATTTTGTAATTCAAGATTAAAACCAAACCAAAAATCAATGGTATCTGAGCTTGAAGCCACTGCTGGGTTGATCTGATGGTCAGGTGAACTAACTCATAAAACTCCGAATTTAGCACGCCGCTTTTGCGAAGGATGAGAAACTAGAGAACCAAGAGGAAATTCCCTGAATCGCGTATAAAGGAAAGAGCGAGGCTCGACAAGCTCTACGCATTTTTGATACTGATTCAGACATTGAGCCTCGGACAGCCTTAATTTACCACCAAGCAAAACTTGTCTAAATTTTGAAACCACTCATTATTAACTTGGTGTTATTTGCCTTATTATGCTAAAAACTGGGCCTGAAGGTACTCAAAGCATTTATAATAACCTCTTGTCGTCTGTCTTTTAACTACATTACCATCGGCTTCACACTTCACTCCTTCCGCCCAACTTTTCATTCGAACACCGGTAATATATACTGATTTATGAGCCAACCGCATTGTTCAACCTCTTATTTTAGGGAGATGTACCTTTTCTTAGCACGGATCCAAAAGTAAACTCTTCATGTGCACACAAAATTTTGATATGACAAGCCGCACGGAAATCGTCAAAAAAACTTCAGTACCATAGAATTTAAGACATTTTTTTCTGGAAAAAAAAATTGAATAGAATAAGAGGACCGACAAAAAAGGAAAAAATTAGTCGCCAAGTCCTGGCATCTTTTCGTTATTGTTGTTGTTGTGGTTGTTGACTTTAATCTTTTTTATCAGTTCTTTTATTTTTTTCGATTATTTTCATTTACGAAGAAAAATACAAAACATACCGGATATTTACTATGATACAATATTATTCGCCCACGAATAGTACTTGAGAAGAACTGAATAAACAAATAAATATTGTAGATAAATACAATAACTATGAAGAGTTAGATGCAGTATCACTGAGAGCATCAAAAACATACATCTTACATAACTGAAATACTCCTTATATTCCTCAAGTTTTTATGAATAAATACGATATACGCTTCGGCAGTTGGCGACAAAAGTTATGAAAGACGACGAAAACCAGTGTATTTCACTAGTTATCAAGATAACTAGAAAGAACCCTTTTTTTATATTTGTTATTTTAACTCTGACTTTGAAGCTTTTTGTAGGTACTGACTGCTTTTATCGATATTTTTTCAAAAATAACACCTGCTGCTTCGCATCTTTAACCGTTGAAGTTAGTTATAGCAGTTTCTTAAATTTTAGATATATATTATATTAGTCCCTCCCGTAATAGTATTGACTTTAAATTTCAAAGCCATTGATTTATAACTTAGTTTGAACCTTATGAAATAATAAAACGAATAGATGACAGATTTTGTAGTTTGAAAAGTTAGGAAAACAGACTAAGAATCATGCTGGGACCTTCGTGGTTGAGAGAGTAAACACCACTTTATTCTGATAATTATAGAAAAACAATGATGGAAAAATTGACAAAGGATAAGGATATAATTGTTTTTTTTTAAAGTGCAATTAATAGAGTTTTGGATCGGTGCTTTCACGTTTGCTTCTTTATTATAATTGTTATTGATATTTATCAATAGATCTCTTACTTTTTACTCTATTTGTTTTTAATTTTATGACAATAAACAAACTAATCTAGAATCGGATTGGAGTTTCAGTAGGTTAAACACTGAAAGAGTATTATTTCTACTCGCCCAAGAAATACAGTATTTAACCAAGAGAATATCGAGATTTCCTCCAGAAATAGTTTCACTATATTGGAAAACTAAAAAAGCAAGTTCTGTCGATTGACTATTGTCATATATCTGTGTGCACAAAAATCCTAGCCAATCAATCGATCTCGAATATATACTGTAGACACCTTTTTCTCGCAAAGCGAAATAAATTTAGTTCCCTTATTATATTCAGTTAAGTAAGGACAGAAATCTACTTCTTGAATTAAAAATGAAATGACAGGTGCAACGCTATGTATTTCAATATAACACAGGTAATTGAGGGCTGTTAGTCATGTTCTCCTCATACTTAAAGAAAATCGACTGAAATCTTAGAGAAAAAGCTAACAGATGCATACACTAAACACACTTAGGGCGTAAGAGATCCACTTGAGACTCTGCTCTTAGAGAGAGACAGCTATAAGCCATCACTGAAAAAGATTCAACGTAGAAAAAGGCAATAAAACAACAAATCCTCAAAAAGTACAAATAAAAGTTTTGAATATTACTGAAATAGAGGATATTACATGGGCGCGCGGAGATACGAATTTTACCTTTCCGTATATGTTATATAACATGTTATTTTCACGTGTGAAGATATCAATTTTTCGAAATAGAGAAAAACAGATATTTCATTGGTAATTATATAATAAATCATTTTATCAGCGCACAACATTTATCAGGTCGTTTGGCATTTGTTTTGTATACCGGCAAAAAAAGGTTGGTGTGTGGTATGTAGAGTGTTGCATACCAAGTCCGAGCTACACTGGATATTGTTGATGTTTTTTACCGTGTTTAAATAAAGTTGTCTGTCTGTCTGTTCACCGCCTCTTTTGAAATAGCTATATAAGGCTCAGTGTTTCCATTACAAAGATCTTTTTGGATTTATATGATAGGCCCTGTTAATAGGAGTAATCTTTTCTCATATCTCATTCACTTGACATTTCTTTGCGTTTGTTTGCTTACCGGCAAGTATCACGCAAGAAGTATAATAGAATATGAGTAATTAGTCTTAAGGAGCTTAGACCTTTTCTCATAACTGATCACTCGTCTTTTCTTTGAATATCGTTTGTTTGTTTACCGGCAACTATCACACACGCAAGAAGTTTTCCTTGTGTAAATGAAATATAGTGAATATGATGAACTTAGACGTATGTGATGACGCTAATGTGTCAATAGGTCATTTTTGTTCAACAGTTGAGAAAGAAAAAGAAAAGAAATAGAGGGAGGAAATTAATGGAGACTGAATAAGAAGCCAGAAAGAAGAGAGATAGATTAATTGCATGTTTCCTCGTACATTATTCGCGTCGAATTGTTTCCTCGTTGATTACTGAAGAGATAGAAAAAAAACCTGCTGTGTGCAGTCATAAAGCACGCGGGGGTTGGCAGAACACGAGAGAAGTGTTAGGAGAAGCACGACGCGTAGCGGAGTGCTTCTCGACACTTCTCTCGTGTTCTGCCAATCCCCAAGTGCTTTATGACTGCACAGCACAGCAAGCAAGTTTTTTATTTCTTTTATAAAATACAAATTACAATAATAGATAGGAATGACGCAACGGAAAGTGGGCGGCGCGTGCAATGTGCTCTCATAAAGCACGTGCTCCAAACCAATCAGAACGCGACATTCATAACAGTTATTTTATAAATTTCTTGTTAATAATATAGATGCAAAAATTTCGAACCAAAATTAGATAGAAAAAAGACGTGTTGGAAAAAATGTACGAAGCGAAGAACTCGTTTGTTTTGTCAAAAATCGGTTTACAAAACAATATTTTATTTACAAAATAGGAAAGAAATATGAATAACAATCAATCAATCAATCAATCAATCTTTATTGTGCTCAATAGTTTACAGATATAAATAGTAATAGTTGAAATTGCAGGTGATAAGAGCACAGCCAATTAGAAATATCAATAGCTATTTGAGCTAAGTGGCTGGGCCATGCGGAGAAAATTGACAGCTTACCAGCGATGCTTCCAGTAATTACCACCTTAATCAACAATTCGTTCAATACAAGTACTTTTCCACAGTCGTGGAAACTAGCCAAAGTTATTCCTTGTCCAAAATCTGAAGACTCAGATGATCCATCCAAAACGCGCCCAATATCTTTACTACCAATCATGTCTAAAGTCTGTGAAAGAGCCGCACACTCACAACTCACCGAGTTCTTAGAAGAAAACCAAATAATATCCCATCTTCAGAGTGGCAACAGAAAACACCAT